ATTTCCAATTATATCAAACCCAACAAAGACCTTCCAAAAGAGCATTTCTGACCAACATAAAGCTCATTTGCACACAAGGACCTGCTATTATGATCCCAACTGTGAGTCACACAGGGCTCTTCAAGGCCCTAAGCCAATCGCTACATGACCCTGTGAATATTCTGAACATTGAAGACTGTGGCATTAGTGATTCGCTTTTGCTCTCTTCTCTTCTCTTCTCTTCTCTTCTCTTCTCTTCTCTTCTCTTCTCTTCGCATTATGCATTCCTGGGAGTATTGTGTGTTGGGACAATAATTCATTACTTGACTGACATATTACCTGAAATTCTGATGATCAGGTTACATCATAGTCAGAAAAGAATTAGGACAATGTCCTGAATATCTCCTATACTTCTTAAATTTCTTGCTGTAATTGGTCATCATACAACAAAATCTTATTAATTTGGGACATGTGCAGGCTAATTTTCCCTGGCTTGTATCCAGGGAAAATTGGCATCTTCCAAAAAATTCATGGGCAAATTGGGAAGGTGAATGTAATTATAGAAGATATATTTAACCTAGCATGAATGCACTTTGTGCTGATTGCAAGTGAATCACATTATTCTGTACTTGAGCCTTGAACCTCATCATTCAGAAGCATTCTTTAGCTATGATGCATAATTATGTTTAAATGTATTGGGAACAAGCTAAATGACATCAGTATGTTATTTCATTTTTTAAGTTTTGAGGTACAAGTGTGACTTTGTTACATGCATAGATTGCATAATTAGCAAGTCAGGGCTTTTAGGCCATCATCACATGAGTAACATAACTCATGTTATGAGTAACACATCATAACATAAGTAATTTCTCATTGTCAACCCCACTTTCACTCTCTAAGCTCTCTGAGTGTCCATGGTCTGTCATTCTATTCTCTATGTCCATATGCACACATCATGTAGCCCCCGTGTGTGAGAATATGCGATATGTGTCCTTCTGTGTCTGACTTGTTTCATTTAAGATGATGATCTCCAGTTCCATCCATGTTGCTACAAAATACATGATTTTATTATTTTTTATGGCTGAATAGTATTAAGTGACATTATTTTCTAAAGTCCAAGCCAACCAAATTAGCCTAGCCTGCACTTTGGAGCCATTATTAAGTAAAATGAGAGTTATTTGAACACAAGCACTACATATCCTGCAATACTGCAACAGTCAGTCTGGTAACTGAGATAATTATTCGGGGATTAAAGGGTGGGTCATGTATACAGTGTGGACACAGGGATGACATTTGTCCCATGCAAGACAGAGCAGGATTGGTGATATTTCATCTTACAACTCAGGATGGCATGCAATTTAAAACTTACAAATTGTTTATTTCTGGAATCTTCCATTAAATATATTAGGACCATGGTTGACCGCAAGTAACTGAAACTGTGGAAAACAAATCCACAGATAGGGAAGGACTACTGTAATGCCAGGAACAGAGCATTAAGGGTGATTCTGGTCAAGGCTCAGGAGAAAAGAATAGCTGTAGGGGAAGTCTGAATCTTATAGATTATTTAGGTGGTCATGACCAGAATGCTGAGAGAAATATGGACAGTAGAGGCTATTCTGATGAGATCTCAGATGGAAATGAGGAACAATAATTAGAAGCTGGAGGAAAGACCATCCATTTACAAAGTGGCAAATGACTTAATTGAATTATGTTCATGTCCAAGGGCCTGAACAGAGGGCAGAGTTTAAGTAAGATGAAGCAGTATATTGGGGGAAGAAATTTCTAAGAAAAATGTTGAAGGAGCTGCATAGCATCTTTGAACTTCATATAGTAAAATGCAAGAGAAAACAAATGATTTAAGGTAGAATTCATAATTAAAAGGGAGACAGAACATAAAGATGTAGAAAATGTGCAGCCTGGCCATATAAAGAATGAAAAAGCATGCAAGGATGTGGCCAAGTGATGCTTTGATACAAGGATTGATATGAATAGAAGGAAACTAGGTGCTGTTCATCACATCAATGGGAGAATGGCTCTGAAGCCATTTCAGAGATCTTTGAAGCTGTCCCTCTCATCACAGGCTCCAGATAAGAGAACCTTGAGGTCAGAAAGAGCTTGGTACTCCCCACATTCTAGCACAGTGCCCCTTTGCTGCTCCAGTTGTGGTTCAAGTGGGCTTAGACGAGACTTGCGCTGCCACTGCAAAGGGCACAAACTGTGAGCCTTGGTGGTGTTCATGTAGTACTGACTGTAGATACACAGAGTGCAGGAGCTGTGGGGCCATGGCGGTCCACCTAGGTTTGAAAGGATGTTTCCGACAGCCTGCCACAGGGGTGTAGCCACAGCAGAGAGGTCCTCCTAGGGCCATGCTCAGGAAAACGGGGGGTCAGAGCAGCCACTGAGACCCTAGAACCGCAGAACTATCAGCCTGAGAGAGCTGCAGGCAGAGACTCCAATCAGATTGCTGCTGCATGGGCTGAGCCCAGCAAAGCCACGGGGCAGAGCTATCTGAGGGCCTTTGGGGCCTAACACCAAGGCCCCCAGGCAGCCCAGCCCCGTGGCAGGCATGTCCAGGAGACAGCACATGGAGTCAAAGGTCATTCTCCAGTTTTAAGATTTAATGCTGTCTTCCCTGTTGGACTCGCTTGGGGCCAGTTACCCTTTTTTCTTTCCTGTTGCTCCCTTTTGGAATGGGCCTGTCTATACTATGCCTCTCCCAGTATTGGATTTTGGAACTAGATAACTTCTTTAATAGGTTCACATGTGGAGGAGAATTTGCCTCAGGATAAGTCCTGTGTTGTGTCTCACTCATATCAGATTTAGATGACACTCTTAGATTTACATTTTGACTTTTAAGTTGGTTCTGGAACAAGTTAAAACTTTGGAACTATTGGAATAAAATGAACACATTCTGTGTATGAGAAGGACATAGATTTGGGGGCCAAGGGTGGAATGCAGTGGTTTGAAAGTGTCCCTCAAAGTTCATGTGTTGGACACTTGATCCTCAATGCGGCGGTGCTGGGAGGCGGCGCCCAACAGGAGATGTTTGGGTCATGGTGACACCACCCTCATGAGTGGATTCATGTTGTTATCACAAGAGTGGGTTCCTTATAAAAGGATGATTTTGACTCCCTCTTTCTCTGTCTCACCCTCTTTTCCCTTCCACAATGTGATGACACAGTATTCCTGGTTATCTATAACTAAGTCTTATTCTATGAATGGAATCCCAACTTCCACAACTTTCCACATATACTGTTTATCAGGGGACATGTTACTTACCATAGAAATAAGTGTAGTTTTCCTAAAATTAAACTCTGATCTCCTTGTTTGGAATGTTTTCCTCTCTTTTATCCGGAAGTCAAAAGATATATCTATTTCTAAAGGACGTTACATGCCTCTATGTCATCAAAAAGCCTTCATTCACTCAATAAACATTTACCACCAGTGTTCTCTGTGCTGAGTATCATGGTAACAAAAAGAAATGTCATAGGCCATGCCTTCAGGGTATTTGCATTGCATATGGGGAATGACAGAAGTAAGTGACTATGATACAGTAGAATGTATCAAATTATGAGCACAAGGGAGGAAATAATGATAAATGTATGGTGTAGCTTATCAGGAAAAATATTATTGAGGAGGAAATATTTTAACTGGTTTTGACACATGAGTAGGAGTTTGCAGAATGAACAAAAAAAAAAATGAAACATTCCAAGAAGATGAAACAGTTTCAGCAAGTTTGGCAAATTTTATTCTTTACCGCTTTCTTGGCTACCCTAAGACATATTAGGCTTACTTTCTCTTTAATCTTGGACACGTTTTTGTTTGTTTGTTTGTTTGTTTTAGCTTTTTAATGCTTCTTTTGTGTACTCTGCTAAAAGAGTAATAAGAATGTACACTACTTTATAAGGTTGTATTAAAGAGTGAAAATGAAATAAATATAAGATGTTTAGCACAATGTCTGGTACATAGTCAAAACTTCACAAGTAATATACATACCTTGAGGGTGTATGGAACTTATCCACATACTATACATTTTTATTGTAGTTGTTTAATGAACATAATTGTAATTCCTTTCATTTTTGCCAAATTCTGTTTCTTATACATGTGTCTTATACAAGTACCCGCAGGAAAAAGATGAGGGTTTATCCATTCTATACCCAGAGTACCCAACAGAATGTCTTGGATGCACATTATTGAAGGCTTAATAATTCTAAACATTGTCTACATATAACAAATGCTTTTGTCAAAGAAAAATTCATCATGCAATTTTGATGATCAAAGATAAAACTTCCTACTCCTAATGCCTATACTGTAAGACATATACAAAAATGTGTTTTTACTCCTTAAAGGCAATGAGTCATGGCTAAGTACTTTCACTTGAAGTGCTGGAATAAGATCTGACACCGAGTTTATAACTTCCTTGGGATCTGACCATCTCCTCAACTGTTCAAGAAGCATACACGGAATCAGAGTCATCTTCATTACAGATGGGACATCCTTCTCCCGAATGAGTCCTTCCTTCGAGCTCCTTTCTGACATCTCATCTGACCAGGACATTCTTTGACAACAAAAGATACATTCACATTATAAAAAGTGTCCCCCATGATTTGTAGAGAGCTATCTGCAGGTAGGAGGGAGAATCACATTTAGAAATAAAGTGTCAGAGTCATGTGTCCAGCGGTTTGTAAAAGACACTGCATAGACCAGGGACAAAGGTGACCCCCACTAAGGAAGAAATATGACAAGTGTTTCCAATAGAAACACAGGAGCACAGCAGGAAAAGGAAATGGGTTATTTTTGGAGTATTTAAATGGGTTAGTTTAGGAGTATTTAACGAGAAACACACAATGATGTAATTACATGATTAAGTTTTCCATGAGGTAAATAATAACAAGGAAATAATGACGTGGTGGCAATGGGCCTTCAGCAGGGTATAAAGGAGGCTATGGACCCAGAAGACTTCCAAACACAAGAACTTCAATCTCTTGGAAACCCACCCAGATCCTCCCCATTCTGACACCATGGTCAACTCCTGTTGTGGCTCCGTGTGCTCTGACCAGGGCTGCGGCCAAGATCTCTGCCAGGAGACCTGCTGCAGCCCCAACTGCTGTCAGACCACCTGCTGCAGGACCACCTGCTGTCGTCCCAGCTGCTGTGTGTCCAGCTGCTGCAGGCCCCAGTGCTGCCAGTCTGTGTGCTGCCAGCCCACCTGCTGCCGCCCCAGCTGCTGTCAGACCACCTGCTGCAGGACCACCTGCTGCCGCCCCAGCTGCTGTGTGTCCAGCTGCTGCAGGCCCCAGCTGCTGCATCTCCAGCTGCTGCCGTCCCTCTTGCTGTGAATCCAGCTGCTGCCGCCCCTGCTGCTGCCTGCGTCCAGTCTGTGGCCGAGTCTCCTGCCACACCACTTGCTATCGCCCAACCTGTGTCATCTCCACCTGCCCCCGCCCCTTGTGCTGCGCCTCCTCTTGCTGCTGAGCCCCCTGCCCTGCTTCACCTCCCCCTTCACTGCTGGCCCACAGATGCAGACCCTTCTACTGTGCTGGCTATTAGGACACATGGAGTGGGGTTGATGTCATTCAATAGGATGGACCTCATGTTTCCAATGAGCCCATCACCATTTCACTGACTCTGAGAATATTCTGGTTCATTTTAAGCTCCCTCCCCTGCTTTCTTTTTCTTCCAGTGGTAGCACCAAATAGAAATTAATTTGTAATCCACTAACTAAGAAATTATTCCAATCCTCTAATTTCCTTATTTTCTTTATCACTTTGAGGTAGAGATTCTCCTTCTCAGTGAGGTAGACATTATCTGCAGGATCAGTTTTGTCACTGATGTTGCACCCTCAGACCCAGGGGCCCAGTTATATTCTGTGTTTCTCCTAGTGTGAATTTCTTATGCTTTGTTGCATCTCTGCTTTCTAATAAACTTTTCTGCACATAAGAATTCATTGGTATCATTCTCTATTGCTTTCATAATTATTTTACTGATTCCCTAGCAATTATATTTTACACAAAGATACAGGAAGAGCAACCCATGTTGAAATCACTTTGAAGATACATGCTGTATCAAATATACATAATTTAAGGTATTGGAATAAAAGTGCTGTGTGTATATGTGTATGTGTGTGTTTGTGGGTGTGCACAGGTGTTTTAATATCCTAAATTAAGACAGATTTAATTCATGCCTTAGCTCTTGAAACACATTTTATCTTTAACACGTTATATCTAATTGTCATACTATTGTCCCTATTTTGACAAAAAAAGATAAAACCAAATTTCTGAAAAGTAGACACCAATGAAAGAAGGGAAATCTTCTATAAAGAATTTAATGTACTCAATTCATTTCACTCAATAAACAACATTTTGGAATTTATTATTAAAAAGTGGACTTTATTTCCCAGTGAGTTCTGCTGAGAAAAAAAAGCATATTGGGCTGTATTTCATCTGGATAGCATGGTATACTTCTGACTGTGGTCTCTACAGGTTTATGTTATAATTTAAACATCTCCACACTTAACATTTAAACATATATAAACCCAGCAAGGCTGAAAATTTCAAGACTCACTTTTGTTTTTAAGAATTATTTTATTGGAATTAGTTCATAGCTTTGAGTAGGTCGCAGCTGGGGTGCATAGCCTAATTAGAATTCCCAAGAGTGGTGCCTTCATTTGAATCTGAAGTAATATCGTATCGTAGGTGATTATAACTTGGCATTCTAGTAGGAGCACCTGCTCTTGATGTTTTTACTTTTATTTGATTATTATCAGCTCTGAAGTGGCCCTATAAGCTGTTGAGCCAATCAAATTTAAGATGATTTGTTCAGATATCATTGATAGCTTCACATTTTTTCTGAGGCCTTAAGAAAATGTTGCCCAAATGTTAATCACAGAGTTATGATGCCTTTTTAAACATGAGGCAGGATAAATAAGGTTAGGAAGCTGTGAAAGGAAAATAAATATCGGGGCCCCCAAATCACTAAGCTAAAGGGAAAAGGCAAGCTGGGAACTATTTCGGGCACACCTGCCTCTCATTCTACTTAAAGTCACCCCTCTGCTCACTGAGATAAATGCATATCTGATTGCCTCCTTGGGAAAGACTAACCAGAAACTCAAAAGAATGCAAGTATTTGTCTCTTTTTTTTTGTTATTATACTTTAAGTTCCAGGGTATATGTGCATGACGTGCAGGCTTGTTACATATGTATACATGTGCCATATTGGTGTGCTGCACCCATTAACTCGTCATTTATATTAGGTATATCTCCTAATGCTATCCCTGCCCCCTTCCCCTCCCCCACAACAGGCCCCGGTGGTGATGATACCCTTCCTGTGTCCAAGTGTTCTCATTGTTCAATTACCACCTATGAGTGAGAACATGCAGTGTTTGGTTTTTTTGTCCTTGTGATAGTTTCCTGAGAATGATGGTTTCCAGCATCATCCATGTCGCTACAAAGAACATGAACTCATCCTTTTTTATGGCTGCATAGTATTCCATGGTGTATATGTGCCATGTTTTCTTAATCCAGTCTATCATTGAGGGACATTTGGGTTGGTTCCAAGTCTTTGCCATTGTGAATAGTGCTGCAATAAACATACGTGTGCATGTGTCTTTATAGCAGCATGGTTTATAATCCTTTGGGTATGTACCCAGTAATGGGATGGCTGGGTCAAGTGGTATTTCTAGTTCTAG